ATTTTATGCCATTTCTGGGAACAGAGATTTATGCAGGATAGCATAATCGATACAGAATTTTGCAGGTTTTATAAACACCATTGTCTCATAGCTTTTCTACTCGTCAGGAGACCAAAAATTATTTTTGTTAAGCCAGGATCTCTTATTGTGTCTCAGAAAAGTGATTATGGGGTTATGTTTGTATGAACGCAGCTTTTGTAAACTGAATTGCAAAGACCCCATTACTACAACTGCCGTTCAATGCAATATTAAGATTTATCAAAATCTTTCTACTCTTTCCGTATGAAACTTGCATATCTGGAAAAGCTTAGGGAGTGAGTTTTCCTGTAAACAGGTTTTCAGTTGCTGCTGGGTGCTGTTTGTGCCTTTTTGCAGTTATCTGTCAGGTACTCCACAGTAAACCATTCTTCCTCTACTTACATTGTAATGCTGAGCTAGTTTAGCTTGGCCGTTGCTACCTTTTTGGCATAACCCCCACAGATCTTCATAAATTGTCTCTAGAATTTTAATTTGTACTGTCTTTGGAATTGTTCTTTTTCACTCAACAGAAATCAGTAGAACTTGCCCTGTTACCTGACCTAGTTCAGCCTAGCTGAGTTTTTCCTATGCAATAACATACAATCTCAGACTGATGGAGTACTGGGAAACTCATCATTAAATCCTCAATTTCAACATTGCAACAGTATTCAGAGAGCTAGGAAAATCTAAATAGGCTAGCATTATATCCATTTTCAGGCATTCTCTTTATTTTTTTTTAGCATCTTGGCTCTGTCCATGCATAGAATGTCTGAATTGCCAATACTTTCCACTGATTTTCTACACCTTTCTTATTGGGACAGTTTGCAGGTTATTGACTGCATATTTATGAATGTGAACTCTGTTCCCAATCTGACTTGAACATGCTGCTAAGATCAGCCATTCAGAGAAGTTAAAAGGGAGAACTGAGGCTTTATATTTGAGTTCTCTCAACATGCCACTGTTTTCTTACAGAGTTTCATGCCTTTTTTCCTTTCCTGATAATTGACCACCCAGATGTGTGTTCTCTTTGAGTCAGTGACTTTCTTGTGATAACTTTTTCTCAATCAGAAAAGCATCTCTTAAGACTACAAAATTTGAACAAAATCATCCTCAGGTGTCTTATGCTTTCTCAGTTTTTTTCTAGTGGTTATAACAATTTGACTTATAACAAAAATTATGTAATGCTTTTACAGTGATGTAAAAAAAAATCTGAAATGTGGCATGAATCAGTAGTGAAACAGTACTGTTACAATATGAGCTCTGCAGAAACGTACGAGGGATACTCTACTCCAAATCTGGATTTGTTATCTGACTTTCCTTAATTATGATGACATGCAACTTAGTGAATTTTTGCTTCTCTACTTTTCTTGATCGTGTCTGGAAGTCACAGTTTTGACCCACTGTGGTGATTTTGGCTGTCTCTTTTTATATGAAACTGCGGGGTAATTTTGTTTGTTTCTGTTGATAGAATCTGTGCTAGTTTCACACCAGAATCTAGAAGAGCTGAGAAGGAAATGATTTCTTATGTAAATGAGTAGTATTTTCCTCCCTAAAGGAAGCATAGATGTTTTTCTTTCTGCCTCTGAAATGTATCCTTTAACTGTTTAACTTAGAAGAATTATAAATTTGGGAAACAAAAAGAAAAATGCAGTATCTTAAGCAAATGTGAATTTAAAAATTTTTGTCTAAATATTTTGTCTAAAATAAAAAAATACTATTGTGTTCACAAATGACAGTTAAGCTTCCTGTCCACATAATATCTACATTTAATTGATCATGTGTTTTTCCTTTAATGTGCCTAATTTATGTTTGGTTCATTTCAGTGATCCCATATTCCTGTATGTTCAGTTATCTTTATCCACTCCCCAAAAACATTTCTGTACAAATTCCAGAATGAATTCAATAGAACATAGTGACAAAATATTGTACTAGTGGATACATATTCTAAAAGGCTATGTATATCTTGTCTGCTAATTATCACATTCAGTGTATAGTCCAGCCGTCAATATGACTGCTCAAGTTTAACTGAAAATTCAATTTGATGGATATTACAAAAATCATTTGGTAAACACAATCAAATACAATGCTAAATTTTATTTTGGAATACTTGCATATGATAAATAGGAATTGCTAGAAAGGTGCTCATTTAAAAATAAAAAAATAAAGGCAGGTTTTTTGTTGGTTTGAACAAATTGAAGTTTTTTACACAATGGTAATGTGCTCCATAAGTTTACTAACCAAAGGAGGATCACTCTTGAACCCGACTGAGGGAATTTTAAAATAGTAAATTCAAGATAGTGGACTAATATGTTTATAATGGAAATAGAGTACCAAGTGAGATGAACTCTGGTCACGAACTGAATCACTGGTAATGTTAACAGATGTCAGGTACTGGTATAAGACATCAAATCAGGGGGAATAGTCACAAGTACAAGACAGTGTGCACACATCACAGCTTAGTTGGCTGTAGAAATCTTTAAGAATTATATCATATTAAATTATATCACTATTGTACCAAATTGAAATGGTAGGACAGGTACAATGTATTACTTGCCCTCATTGTTGACAGTACTTTTTAGAGTCAAGAGAACACTAGGTGCAGTTTCTTTACTGTTTGGAGATGTTCAACTTTTTCATGTGCAGCCTTCAACAGCTTGTTCTTTGTATAACGTCGTCTTCCATGATGGTCTCAGCACATTTGGGCAGTGTACTTTTCTACTTCTTAGGAAGAGAGAGAACTCAGAAAAGTCAAACTACTTTTTATGTAGTTAGAACATCCTGATGCCATTAGAAGGTTCACGTCAGCAGAGTCTGCCTTAACATTTTCTGTTAGCTAGCTACTGACATTGATCACTTATCAACCGGGAAGAACAGCAACCTGCAGTTCCTCCGCTGTTGTTTATGAAGACTCCTCAGCATCTGAACAAGGGTTCACATTATCTTTAAGTGTATCTAACATGGGACTCTGCATGGATATATAGACTAGTCTGCCTCTTAGGCTACCCTAAAAATGGTGCCTAGGAAGTGGAGAGTTGTAAATATCTTGGCATTATAGTATTTATGAAGTAAAACTAGAAGTCTAGTAGAGGCATAGTGGTTTTCTCAAGGCTTTTCCTAAAGTGGTAGCTCATCTGAGGAACAGCACGCCATATCCCAAAGAACTAATGGCTATAAACTTCTCTTCTAATGTGACAGAGTCAACATCTTTGGTTGCATTTATGGATGTAAATTAAACAAGGAAAGGCCTGAAGCCCTGGCAGATGCTCATTAGTGAGAACGCTCCCCAGTGGAAACTATCTTTCCTAGATAATGTCTGGGTGCAGGCCAGGGACTGTTCCCAGTAGGCACTACTGACAAAGCTATACTGTTATCTGGGACAAGAGAATTTAACTGTATGGAAGGAAGCCATTCTGTGCCAGATAGCCACAGGGTCAGAAAGCCTTACTTTGTTTAGTTTAGCATCGTAGACAATATTTTGACTGGAAGGCAAAGAGTGTAAGACAAAATGCAGATGGAGAATAGAAATAGTTAATCTGTGGGTGTAGGGAACATGCAGAGTGTTCTCAATAGAAATGTTAAAATCTGCTTGTGCAGATCGTATTTGTTTCTAGATAATCCAGTAATGTACAGATCCAGTCTTAATGATCACCTAAGCATGATCTCAGATCCCAGAGGACTTTTCTTTGAAAGATCTCTGCACAGTTTGGAAAGTCTGAAAGCAAACACGAGGACAGCTTCCAGCTCCTTAAAGCAGAAGGGGATCATCTGTTCTGTATGTACAGGAAGAACAGAACAACAAGTGATGAGCTTAAATTCTATTAAGAGATTCAGCTAGAGTAGAACAACTTTGCAATGGTAATGAGAGAGGAACTGAAATAGATTGCCTGGGGTGGCAGGTTAGTTTTTGTCACAGCAGAGCTTTGAGAATATCTGAATTGAGTAAGACTATTCCTCAAATCTCTACTTTTTGTCATTAAGTTCTTTAACACAGGAGTATCTGTGTAAGTAATTTTTAAGATCTATTGTAAGTGTTGGTTGCAAAGAATTGTCTGATTACTTTTGTTGTTGTTGCTCCAAAATTGCGTCTTAAAACAAAAAATGCATAATGCCTATACTAAGTTAATGTTTTTCTACAGCCTGAGAGGCCTCCATTCAGTTAGTTGTTGGAAGCAGCTGTGTGAGTTCAAACCTAATTTTACACCAAGGAAGTACGTCCATGCTGTGTTTATACCGTGCATCCACATTAACATGCATTTCATTAAGGGAGATGGGCTCTGTTCAATTTTTCTGTTTTACTTCATTCAAATTGAAGCTCTACATAAGAGTGGCTAATATCAGGTCAATGCATTGAAGGGGGTAAAAAAAGAGGAGGACATCAAATAACATTTGTATCGCTTGTGTTCTAAATTTACACATTTCCTGTTTTGATTTGATTTTTTTCTTCCATCTTGGCTTACTAATGTAACTTCATTTTAGAGAGTTATCTTCTATTTTATCTAGGAAGATACAATTCTCATTCAAAGGGCAAGACCTCTTGGGGTAGGCATTAACTATTATGAGCTCAGCGTATTGCTAGAAAGTTATTCATATTGCTGATAACAGAACCCAAAAGCAGTTTCCAGAATGTTTATATTGGATTTAGTGTCTTTTCATATTAGAGATTTCAGTTTTTACTAAAATGATAACAAGATTAAAAGCTCACCATTATAACAGGCAAGTTCCTATGACTTCTACAACAATCTGTGTTATTAAAATGATAATAGCTACATGTTATGAATTAATTCAAAGCATGCAGCAGTGGACAGTGACTGGCTTTGCCAGAGATGTAGAGCAACAGCTTAGCCTTTGTCCTTCAATGTTGTTAGCCTTCTGCTTTACTTCCTTCAAATTGAGGAAATAATCAATAATACCAGCTGCAGCTGTTTCTGTCCTTTTGTCTGCCAACCAATCAGTTTCAATTGCAAAATCAAAATCACAAAGAACCCTGCAGTCATGGAATTAGTGAAGCCTAGATACTTATGACATAATACAGTCTCTAAGCCTTTAAAACTAGAATTTCTTCAATGAGAGCTAGGTAAGTTCTGATACCTCTCTATTTTCTTTCTCCTTTCTAGAAAATAAGGGTACATACCCATGTATGCGTGCCATCATCACCATTTTTTTGCTCTCTCAAGCTAACACGCACAATATGTGAAAGTTTGTGTTTGCTTGAAGGGGGGAAAAGGGAGGTTGTCCTTTGGTGTTTTAATTGTGTATTTTTTATTTGTTATACCATTTTAAAAGTTAGCTATACACTTTATACCTATACAGCTATAGGTGGTGTACAAAGGGGAAATATTTTAATATTGAACTTTCAGATATAGACTTCAGGATGTAAACTTCTATAACATAATTTCTTGAAAGGATACTGTGTGTTGAATCATTACAGAAAAAAATCACTGTAACTTAGATTGTGCATATTCATACATTCCTACAGGTACTTACCCACTTGTTTTACTTAGTCACAAACCTAAGCATTTTGAAATGCCTGTTCCATGACCTCAGTATCAAGTATGTTACCTTGGACCACTTACATATTCTGCTTAACCTTTGATGTTTAAAACAAAAAGAAGAAAAAAAGTGTTGGTCAAAATTCCATACTTATGAGGTTAGTCATTAAAAAGGAGTTATTCCTGCTTCTTTAATAAAATAGTTTAATTAAAGAGTATCTTCCCTATGTATTCAATATCAGTTTTCCTTCATTTGTTATCTAAAGTAATTCTGTCTGAAATTGCTTTTTGAAATTAAATTACTGATCCTTATTTGGGGCAGCATTTTCAACAAAACAGTGAGAACATTCTCAAGTGTAAGAAAACTCAACTATATGCTTCCTTGCTCCACTGCTAAAGCTCATAGAACAGCTTTCATGGTCACTTACGTGCGTCTTCTCTTACAGACAGAAGGGAGAAATCTACTCTGTAATAATTTCCCATCTCCTAGCAGATCTTTTTTATGGTACTTATCTCAGATCTATACCAAGCCTGCCTGTACCTGTACAATGTAAAAACCTGTGAATTCTGATGTTAACTATTTTTCCCTAAGTTAAGATATACAAGTAAGTGAAAAAATATTCAGCTCTTCAAAAATGGTTTTCAGTGATCTGAAAGTAAAAATGTGGTATTTTTTTCAAGTACAGGTACTTGCAACTTGCAACTGCTATTGCAAATGACTCTTGAAATACATTTCTAACCATTTATTTTTGACTGATACAGGTCATACTAAGTGTTAATGTCTTATCCTTTGTTAAAATATTTGCCTGTCCTTGCTTCTGCAAGTTCCAGTGTGAAGATGGAAGCAGTCTAAAATTATAAATTGTTAAAATTCAAGTCACCAAAATTCAACTCATCTTGATTCTTAACATTGAAATAAGAAATAATCAGTATAAAAGCCAAGCAATTTGGAATACTCTTGGTGTGTGAAAAATACGATGGAAAGTAGTATGTAACTAGTTGCTGTTAAAGCATTTACAAGGTTTTTATTCAAATTGTATTCCCTTAAAAATGAGTAAGTGTAAGGGAAGATATCTCTTTCTTTGGGAGAGGAGGATAAAATGTAATTTCAAATTAATAATTGTTACATAATCTGTTGAAAATATTGTAGAAACTGTCAGTGCATGTGAAGATAGTTTTGATAGTGTTATCTGCAAATAATTAATAAAAATCTGTTGTATAGGAAAGTTATATTTATAAATAGTGTGAATCTGGTGAAACAGGAAAACTACATAATCTATAAATCTGAGGATTTTTTTCCTTTCTCTGACAACATAATCTACTGTAAATACTGTGAATGTAAGCTTGTGTATATAAACCTTTCACAATTTATTATGCTCAGTGAATTGTCTAGGTCTGTTTCAAAGTGGTAGGGATAACATCATTTCATACTTTATCCTCATAACCACATTAGTTAATTTATAGATTTCTTATTACTATTTTAATGTTATTCATCTGGTTCATGCAACCTTTTCAAATGGATACAATAATACGAAGGTGAAATGAAGTTTCAATATTTGTGTGTGTGTGTGTAATAGAAACTAATACTAACTACAGTTATTATGAAACAAATGCAGAGTTCCTGACCAAAGACATACTGACGCAATTGAAATTTGGTTAGCTGAGCTAGCAAAATGATGGCTGAGTTAAATTTGAGCCAGATTTGTGGCTTTAATGCATACAAATCCTATAGTTAATATAGTCAAAATTCTGGGAACCTGAATTCCTTTAATCTGCCTTGACATTTGCCAAATGATCGCTTGTAACTTTGATTTTCCCTGCGGGAGAAGAAGTGAAGGGAAGCATATATACACAATCTAATTCTACTTTTGCAAATACAAACTTACTTAAGCAAATCAGGAAGGGAGATCTGGCATGTTGATTACTTTAATTGAATTGTTTCCCGGATCAGCTTAGAGATCAGAGCTTATTTATTTATTTCTCTCAAATGCTTTTCTTTATGCAAGTGTAATATGAGTATTTATGTTTTTACTTCATCTCTGATCCTCTTTTATGTTAATTGTCTTTGGAGAATATTTCTCCAACTCTTCCCCCTGTGAACCTATGCGGTGTACTGCAGAAGCTTCCTTTGACTATGTTTCCATCGTTATAAAATGTCTGTCACATATCTGTCAAAAAAGTTTGTCACTGTAATTCAGAACATATTAACATGCCTCTCATCAATTTTTAAAGAGTACTGCATCTATGAACGTAGTCAGGTTACAGTTCCTCATCTTCTGAACACATAACACAGGTCCTTATTGGGCCCAAGACACACTATTACAAAACACCACATACGTAGTGCTCCAAAAGTAATGCATCTTGTTTACTTCCATGAAAACTAAAATAAAGAGCACAGTAACGTTATTTGATAGGGCAGATTTTCAGCTACAAAGCACTATTTTTCAACATTGGCACCACCATTAGCTGTACGTTTTCGTCAGCAATGAACAAGAGCTGCACACTGTGCTTAGAAAAATCTGTACCAGGCATTACTTTCATAGCAGCCCTCAAATTGAAACAATGAAGCAGCATAAAATATCCCATTTTTATATTATTTACTTGAAAACAAATTTGTTCCTTCCAACCATAGCATATTGCTTTCTAGCGTTATTCCCAATGCCTCTCAGATCTGTATCATTTATTGTTTTCATTCAGTATTTGCTGAAGGAGTGGTTTTATTTCTGTCATCAGGTGCAGTGTTCTTTCAGATCAGTGGAGTATTATACTATCACTGTCTGTTACACCATAATTCAGTGTTTTCATCTCTTTACCTAGAGTTGATAATCCAGATACAGAAATTCTCCGGGCTGAGCCATAGTATTAAGTTTCAAGGACAAGCAGCATATTTTAAACTTTATCCTATCATTCAATTTGTAAAAATATAGTAAGTATGTGCCAAAGTTTGACAGTTTATATTTAATTTAAGCAGTTATATTTTCAAGATTGCTTTTAACTTTCTGAAGGGGAAAATCTTTATTCTTGAATCAAATTTATTGGTCCGTAGCATAACACTTCACTATGCATAATGACACTTGGAAAGGAAGTGATACTGCAGGAAGCAGAAGTCCAGTTAATTATGTGAAATCAATTTTAAATTCAAAATATTAGTATTAATAAATATCATAGTAATTAATAAAGCTCATGAATCTAAATCCTACTTCACTTGAGACTAGACCTAAAATCTGTTTAAATCATGGACAGTTGATACATGTTAATTTCTTCTAGGTGCTCTGGATAGTGAAATTCTTAGCTGCCAAAACTACTTGCTCAGTTGGCTACTGATATGGCTGTGACTTCTAGTATTAATATAGGAAGATAGAAGTGCATTTCCTACCCCAAACTCTGTTGTTGACTGAGCTGACTCTGTTTAGACAGGAAGAACAAGATGTGTTTTAGTTAAGAGCGCAAATTATTCTTGCTGGCCCTTTAGTTCTTCTATTAAGGAATTCTTCTTTGGGTCCTCACTTAAGAAAGGAGATGTCTGGATTCTGCACTCCAAACCTCCATGTGATTGAATTCACATTTTCAGGTATACTTGTTTGCTTTCCTCCTAATCTTTCTGGTTATGCACTGACTATCCCTCAACATATTATGGAAGTTGATAGGCACTATTCTGTGTGGTCTGAACCTTAAGGGATCCTAGTCTTAGTACCAGGAGCTAATCAGTAAGTACTACTGCTGTGACTATAATTTTATTTCCTAATGGAAGGCAGCCCTGTTCCAGGAGTACCCACGTTGTAATGGGACTGCAAGGATCAGATCCCATGAGGAGAGGATGTAAATCTCTCTCTGCTGATGAGATTGTGAGCTTATGTGTGTGTCGGGTAAGGCCTGGATATGCAAATCCTTTCATCCACTTCTTCCTCCAGTGTTCCAGTGTCTCATGAATGAGGTGCTAGAACTCAGATGCGGTGGATTCCAATCTGTTATAGTAGTAAGTTGAGTGGTTAAGTTTAAGGAAGATGAAAACATACTGAGTTTTAAAAGGAGATACTGTGACATTAAAAGAGTCAGTGTGCCAGAATCCAGTAAGCAGCGTTAGTAAGAGGTGACAGGACATGAAAGAAGGCATAAAATGAATGATACAATAATAAAGGCACACAGATGGCAGTTCTGGTACTAGCAGTACTAGCATGGTTCTCAATAAGCTGAGAGAACAAAAGAAGTAATATGAAGTAAAGAAAAAGACTAGCAAGTATATATTATACATTTTGCTGCTTACAAAAAATACTAGGTGAAAAATGATTTCCAAAGGAAGTGGGTGTTAATAATATATGAAATACAGCAAATGTAGTAGATTATAGAAAATGTAGCATACGTTTTACCATACAAATAGAGTTTTGGTTTTTTTGTGAGAAGTTGGCTGGTTATTCTGAATCTTCTTAACATTTTCTTGTCTGGTACTTAAGGAACTGCCAGTTTCATCTGGGTAAATTCCTTTGAAAGAAATTTCTGTGCATATAAGAAGAAGGAAACAGGATATTAACTACACCAAATTACTTCATTTGTTAGCACATGTGAATGTACCTGCAAAACAAGATTG